GCCTTCAGCTCATCTGCATTTTTTGGTCTCTTGTTTCTCATTTTCCTCTTGACAATACCCCATAGATTCTCTATGGGGTTCAGGTCTGGTGAGTTTGCTGGCCAGTCAAGCACACCAACACCATGGTCATTTAACCAACTTTTGGTGCTTTTGGCAGTGTGAGCAGGTGCCAAATCCTGCTGGAAAATGAAATCAGCATCTTCAAAAAGCTGATCAGCAGAAGGAAGCATGAAGTGCTCCAAAATTTATTGGTAAACGGGTGCAGTGACGTTGGTTTTCAAAAAACACAATGGACCAACACCAGCAGATGACATTGCACCCCAAATCATCACAGACTGTGGAAACTTAACACTGGACTTCAAGCAACTTGGGCTATGAGCTTCTCCACCCTTCCTCCAGACTCTAGGACCTTGGTTTCCAAATGAAATACAAAACTTGCTCTCATCTGAAAAAAGGACTTTGGACCACTGGGCAACAGTCCAGTTCTTCTTCTCCTTAGCCCAGGTAAGACGCCTCTGACGTTGTCTGTGGTTCAGGAGTGGCTTAACAAGAGGAATACGACAACTGTAGCCAAATTCCTTGACACGTCTGTGTGTGGTGGCTCTTGATGCCTTGACCCCAGCCTCAGTCCATTCCTTGTGAAGTTCACTCAAATTCTTGAATCGATTTTGCTTGACAATCCTCATAAGGCTGCAGTTCTCTCGGTTGGTTGTGCATCTTTTTCCTTCCACTCAACTTTCTGTTAACATACTTGGATACAGCACTCTGTGAACAGCCAGCTTCTTTGACAATGAATGTTTGGAACTTTTCCACAACATTCTAATTTATTGAGATGCACCTGTACATTTACAAACAGAGCACCAAAAAAATGCAGCATCATTTTCTGCTGTCTTCCAGGTCCAGAGTGGGGCCCAGACTCCATTTAAGAAATGGCTTCTGAACTTTGCCATTGAGAAGAAATGTGCAGAGGTCAAGCATGGAATTATCAGGAACGACAGCATATGGGACAAACTCATCTTTCACAAAGTGCAGGTATCCCAAACAGACCAGATGGGAGGGGGGTTGTATTTATTGGGGAAGAGTGGTACACCTGTGAGGAATGGTTCTGGAAAGTTTTGAATTGTCTTCTGCAGGAGTCCCTGGGGGGCCGCGTGAGGGTGATGGTGACGGGGGCCGCTCCCATTTCTCCAACTGTGCTCACTTTTCTCCGGGCAAGCCTCGGGTGCCAGGTATGAAAGGAAGAGTATAATAACAGCAAAAATCAATGAACTATACACTGTAAAAAAATTATTGTGATTTTAACAGTTATAGACTGTAAAAATGCTACAGTAAAAACCTGTTAACTGGTTAACAGCAAGTTTCCATACTATATTCGGTGAATTAATGTAATTACATTTAATGTAATTTTACAGTAAATTTACAGTTTTCCAAAAACAGTACGGTTTTTGGAAATGAAAAAGAAAAAGTCATTGTATAATTTACAGTTAAAAAACTTAAATTGACACTCCCAGAATTCCCTGCATGACACTTCATATTTTATGTTTTTTGTTGAAATAACATGATTCTTCTTAGGTTTTCTTATCAGTTGTGTACATTAAGGTTTAATCTTGCATCTAATGTTGTTAAATTAATGTTTATTTGCATTATTTCAGTATCATGTGTGTCACCATGATGGGGTTTATTGTTTGTGTGAATGTGCGCCTTCTATATATAAGTATTGCCCTCCTCAGCTTGTAGAAAAGCTGTTTGTGATGAGCTTTGGTTCATCATGTGACTTTCTCATCACCACCAGGTTTTGGTGGTTATCAGTGCATTACAATGGTTCAAACCAGATATTAAGACTTCAATATGTTGGTTTATTAAAGGTGGGGTAAGCGATTTCTGGTAGCCAATGATTACATTTGAAATCACCAAAACAAACACGCCCCTACCCCAAAAGGGTCTCGCCCCTATTTTGATAGCTCCGCCCCACACATACGTACGCAACCCAGGCAACGATTAGTTCTGTGAAACAAAGCAAAACCAATGTTACACCGTGTCTACACCGGGCGCTAGTAAATACTATAGAACTCATTATAATCAGTGATGCTGTCTACACCAATATGGTCTACACATTACATCAGTTAATGAAATACGGTATTGTATTGTGAATTTAAGTTAAGTCTGTAAAACCTAAAATGTTGCTACCATTTTTTTTACGGTGCGGTTCTGGCAACCACAGCTGCCGGTATTTTACCGTAAATGTCACTGATTTTTTTTTACAGTGTATTGCTCCTGTTTTGGCTTATAAAAGACAAAGTGATGCACTATTGCTTTATTGTGTACTTAAAAAACATGGCCACTGTTAAACAGGGTGTATATGTATGTATGTGTATTGATCTGGTGTCACAGTGACCCAATGCTGACCCCTTTATCACTGGCCTGCTTCCAGATATTCGAGGCATACGGCCAGACAGAGTGTACTGCAGCCTGCTCTTTCACAATGCCGGGAGACTGGCATACTGGTGGGTTCCTGTAACTGAAAAACATGTTTTTGTCTGTGTGTGTGAAACAACACACTGACTAATTTTGTATACTGTTGATTTCAGGTCATGTTGGAGTTCCTATTCCATGCAATATTGTCAAACTTGTTGATGTGGAGGAAATGAATTACTTTGCATCCAGCGGTGAAGGAGAGGTAATGGAACATAATTTTATAAACCATATACTAAAATGTAATTGAAACCTCTTATGGCTTTTCTGTTTCGTTTTAGGTTTGTGTCAAAGGGAAGAATGTGTTTCGTGGATATCTCAATGACCCAGAAAAGACAGCAGAGGCTTTAGACCAAGATGGATGGCTGCACACTGGAGATATCGGCAAATGGCTGCCTGTGAGATCCCTTGGTTTCTCTTTTTTTTAATAATGCACCTTAGAAGGAAGGAAATGTATAGGTCTATTGTGTTGTGATATCAGCAGGCAGCCAAGGACACAAAGTCACAAAACCTAAAGCTGAATACAATATGTGCATGATTTTTAGCTCCAAAATGAGGAAGAGGCTTAATATTTTTTGCGTTTAAATAATGCAATGGTAATAAACTCCAAGAAACACCCTGTTTGACCCCGTTTTCCCCAAAATACATTACTATACAGTAAACTACCATTCAAAAGCTTGGGTTGGCTTAATAAGAATTTTTAAAAGAAATGAATAATATCAATAAGCGAGGATGCATTAAATTTATCAAAAGTAACGGTAAAGACATTAAAAATTTTTCAAAATATTTCTATAAGATTTCATAGTTTCCACCACAACTGCTTTCATCTGTGATAATAATGTTTATTGAGCACCAAATCAGCATATTAGAATGATTTCTGAAGGATCATGTAACACTGAAGACTGGAGTAATGATGCTGAAAATTCAGCATTTCCATCACATGAATAAACAACATTTTAAAATATATAAAAATAGAAAACGGTTTAAATTATAATATTTCACATTATTACAGCATTTTTTTAAATCAAAATAAATGCAGCCTTAATGAGCGTAAGAGACTTCTTTGAAAAACATTAAATCAAGGCAAAATCTTGACCTTAAATTAACATGACTTGTTGTTGATTTAATGATGTTTATGGAAGTTATGTTTTGTGTTCAATTTACCAGAGCGGAGTGTTGAAGATCATCGACAGGAAGAAAAACATCTTCAAACTGGCTCAAGGAGAATACATTGCACCAGAAAAGATAGAAAACGTTTACATTCGGAGCGCTCCAGTCGCCCAAGTGTTTGTGCATGGCGACAGTTTACAGGTGAAATTAATATGCATTCCTTGCTATTTCTGACGATAAAAAAAATGCTTTTTTTTTTTTTAAAGCTTATTATGTAGCCTTATATTTCAATTGAATGTGTCCAGTCCTCTTTGGTGGCCATAGTCGTGCCAGACCCTGAAGTATTGCCAAGATTTGCAGAAAAACTGGGAGTGAAAGGTTCACTAGAGGAGCTTTGTAGAAATCAGGTATGCGGTGTGTATTTACATAGTTTACCTTCGAAAATACATACATGCAAAAAATTGAGTCTGAAGGATTTCTGCTAGTTTACTTGTGTGGCATTTTCAAAATAGTTACATATTAAGTTTTGCTAATAATCGTCATTATTTTGTAGGAAATAAAGAAAGCAATCATCTCTGACCTTAACAAGCTGGGGCGTGAAGCAGGGCTGAAGTCCTTTGAACAAGTAAGCACTTTTATGATCCGTTAGGCTATTATAAGCATATATTATTGTTGAAGAAATAGTTCTCCCAAAAATGAAAATTTGCTGAAAGTAGATCAGATCTCATGCCGTCAGAAAGAGAGTCCAAACAGCTGATAAAAACATCACAATAACCCACAACACAACTCCATTTGATCAATTAATGTCTTGTGAAGCAAAAATCTGAGGTTTTGTAATCCATCAAGACATTTTTAACTTTTAATGAGACATCTCGTCTGAAGGTACAGTTTATGCACAGATCAAGCACTGTTTACAAGTGAAAATAGTCCAAAACAATTTTAAACAAATAAATCGGTGGATTTTGATGTCATTTTGATATATTGTGTGGTTTTCTTTTCACTTAATTGAACGTCTAATATAGTAATGTTCTCTTTTCAAGGTAAAAGACCTGTACCTGCATCCCGACATGTTCACTATAGAAAACGGTCTCCTCACTCCAACACTGAAAGCCAAACGGGCAGATCTCACTAAATTCTTTAAAGTTCAGATTGAGAGTCTTTATGCTAACATGTAGTGCATTAATAAAAGCTGAGGATATCCTGCGGTGTGACCATGTATTTATGAGTGCTGTTTGTGTTGTGATGTTTTTCTATATTTGCTCAAAGATGAAATATTTTATAAGCACTGTATCAATTTTAACTGCATGTATTAATCTGTGCCCAAGAGACTCATTGTCAGTTATGAAGACATATATGATTTGTCTGGATATGTTAATATAAAACAAATGTATGAACATCCTTAAAAAATGTAATGAATACCAAAGAATGTTCATTTATTTTTTTTCCAAGGAAGAAAATGTGAAAACATTAACATGTCAAAGTCAATACATCAATTAAACAATTGTATTTACATACAGGTGCTTTGTGGAGTAGAAACTAATTTTGTGGTTGCTTTCCATTAAAAAAACGAAGAAAATAAATTTACGAAATTACTATACCGATCACGGTTGTTTATTTGTCTCTGAAAACTTCAGCGAGGTTGACATCAGTTTTACAAAAAAGCAAGCCATCAAAAATAAAATAAAATTGTTGTTTCCATTATATAAACAATTCAGACAATTTGCATGACAAAGACCTTGTTACAATTGGAAAAAAAGCTTTGCATAATCAGTGTGGGCATCGACGAACGAGAGAGAGCAAGAGAAAGAGAAAGAAAGGCAAGAAGAAGAAATACGTTTCAAGTAAACATCTTAATAACCCCCTTTAGAGAATATACTGCCATATGCCCCAATCCCATTTTAATAAAACCCCTATTTCTTTCTCATTTGCCAGTTTCTCTGGCAGCTGTTCTTTGGAAATGAAATGTCATTAAGTTACGCAAGTGAATAACTTTGGGGTGTCTGTCAGTATCAATTTGCCTCAACACTTAGCGCTGGTGCCATTGAACAGCTTTACAAAAGAATCAGAAAGAAATTTGCATCTCAGCAGGGTTCAGGCCCTAATATTAGGTCCTCTGTTCAAAGCGAGCTGTGAAATATATAGTTCTGCATCATTGTTCTTTCTTTTCTTCATTTGTTGAATTATTCGCCGAGTCATAGTGACACTTCTCAACACATCTGCGTGGAAACCATCCTCTAATTTGAACTCCAGCTTTAGGGAGAGATATAATTTTAAACATCAAAATTACGAAACACTTTTAATTGCTGAATTTGATCATATAATATGTTGAAAACTTTACCTTTTGCCTGTTCCTCATTCAAAACTTTATCTCCATACATCCACCATCTGTTGATTAACAAGAACATATTTTAAAAAAAAAGAATATAAAATAAATTACTCTAAAAAGTAAAAAAAAACAAAACAAAAAAAATTCTCCAAAAACATCAAGACCTAATATTTTACATTACTGTTAAAACGTATGGGTTTGGTACATTTAAAAAAATGCTCACCAAGGCTGCATTTGTTTGATCACACAGTAAACACAGTAAAATTGTGTCAAAATTTAAAATAAATAGATTCTATTTTAATGTATTGTAAAATAGAATAATTTTTCAATTTATTCCTGTAATGGCAAAGCTGAATTTGATCAATTTCGCCAGTTTTCAATGTCACACGATCCTTTGGAAATCATTCTAATATGCTGATTTGGTTCACAAGAAATATTTATTATTATCAAAGTTTAAAGCAGTTTAATATTTTGGTGAAATCCACAATAATTGTTTTTTTTTTAGGATTCTCTGATGAATAGAAAATTCAAAAGAGCAGCAATTATTTGAAGTAGATTTTTTTGTAACATTATAAATGTATTTTCTGTCACTTTTGATCAATTTAATGCATTCTTGCTGAATCAAATAATTAATGAATTAGAAATTAGTCTTACTGACCCCAAACATTATTATATTATATTATATTATAACATGGCATTAAAACTGGCTAAAATATGGAAAAACATGCTGGTCTAATAGCATGTGGGAAAATTTATATATATATTTCAACATTCCCCATTGGAAGTTATGGACCAATAAAGTAACTAAAACCAATGGCTCACTTTGTTCCTCTTGTAGCAAAGATGGTCTCCCCCTTTGTGAGTTTGATCCTGGGTTCCTCTGTACAAGGTGTCCTAAAGAAAGTGTTCAGTCCCTTTCCCAAAGGGCAACAAGCACCATTGTAGTCCTCCACCACTCTGTACTCCACCTGTGAAGCAGACAGTCACCATTGTGTCAGTCCTTGCTGCCCTAAATAAATGCTGCCCTCTAGTGTTTAAAAGTGATTCCGGCAATACTCACACTCCTCTGACGTTTATCATGTTTTTGCTTCAGCTGCTCAATCTGAATAAAGAGGAAATAAAAAATATCATTACAAACTGAGCTATAGAGCTGTATTAAACTGTAATATGATACCTAAAGGATGATCAGTAATATGTATTATGTTGAGAACATACGGTTAGAGTATACTGGTTACACTTCTCATGCACAGGCCATTCGATTCCATCTCCTAAGGGGGTGCCGGACCAGGTGAACACCTGCTTGAAGTTCTTCCATCTGCTGCCCAAGTCATAGGGGAAGATGAAGTCTTCACATGTTTGGTAGTACTGGATTCTGTCTTTGGCCTGGGAACACAGAGATTCTTGCTTTAATGTAATAAAGCCCACATGACTTACTGAATTCAGAGGTGGTCTTTTGTCCTATACTTCCATAAGGTCTCATCTAGCCACAAAGACCCAATAAACACACGATTTGAATGTTTATACTGTACATGTGCATTTGGAGAGTCAACATGCAATATTTTTGTGCTATATGCTAAACTCTATTTTAAAGTACTATATAAACTACATTTTGCTATTATTTTATTACTTTGTAATTATTATTACATTATGAATTTTAATACCTTATAACTGAAATATTACACATACATTATTTTTCAAAATTAAACATTACTGCAGGACAATTTAAGGACAATTCATTTCAGTAACAATTCAAGGGAATTTCAAAATTAGGTTACACTTTATTTTAAGATGTTCTTGTTACAGTGTAATTATACATATAAGTACTGAGTAATATTACTTAACTACATGTACTTACCATATGGTTAGGATTAGTATTTGGCTTATGGTTAATTGCATGTAATTATGCATAATTAATTGTTATTATAATAGTAAGTACATGTAACATGTGTAACAAGGACACCTTAAAATAAAGTGTTACTGAAGACTTAAACACAACAGCAATCCCAGATTATGGGGTTCAACCTCTCAGTATCTCCTCCTTCATCTGTCAGGAGACCGAATCACGCTGCAGGCCCAGAAAGAGAGCGGGATTGGGATTGAAAAAGCAAGATTCAGCAGAAAAAACTAACGAAACTGGTGCGGGGAGAGCCAGGCGTCCCGCGGGTCGCACACGAGATGATCCGCGATCACTGACCAACTTCGTACAACTGTACGATACCTCGGCCTGTTCAAACAACCATACAAACATGGTCTCAGAGCAGCATCTTAATGGACCGTTTCTTTTTCCTAAAGGTTCTGTTTGGACAGAGCTTCAAGCCACCCACACGGAGTCAACACACTCCGCTGTTTGTGTTCGCTTTGGCAGGAAGGATATGTACGGGATTAAGTCATTTCCATGCAACTACAGTGACATTGTGGCCTGCGGTTAGCATTAGCCATGTGAAGTCACAGAGGGTTGTTGTGGGGTTTTGAGATGTCCAATTCCCAAATGAATTGTATTTTTAAATCAGCTCTTTTTAATGATTCATTTGAGCGTTTGTGATTCACTTGGCTGTAGGGGAGAACTGCACTAACACAAGAGAATCGGAAACCATTGTGAATCCATTCATTTTAATTCTGGTAGTGATGTAAAAGGTTTTGAAGCTTCATCCATTTTGTGACAAAAAATGGCAAAAATTTTGAAAATGTAATACAATGAAGTAAGGATCATAAGCATTTGACACATTTACATATTTAATTTGGGGAATATTTGGGGAAAATATTTTTATATTTTATGAATATTTCTGAATTTTACATTTTCAAAATATATCATAAATTTGTAAAATATTTATAATATTTCAAATTTAATAATAACAAAAACAATAATTTATATATTAAATATTTAATGTATAATAATAAAATATATAATGTATTTCATATATTTAACATATAATGCTTTTTTGCATTTTAAAATATTTTTATTAAATCATTTATATATAGGGTGGGCCAGGATTTCTATATTTGGCTTTGTTTTCCTGTTTTCATACTTGCTGAAGGTAATGATTGAAAAGTATCTCGACCAATAACGTCCAGGCATTGTACATAATCGACCAATCGTGGCGCGTGAGAAGGTGGGATCTACAGAGAACAGTCAAAGCGATGCAAATGCACGTACAGATTAGATGTGTTTGTTCGTTCTTTTGACTTCAAGCGGCACTGCACAGATCGATCTAGGGCTGTGTATCACCAGCAAAGTCACGATACGATACGTATCACGATACAGAGGCCCCGATACGATACATATCACGATACGGGACTGCACTGAATTTCA